TAATATAATCTTTTTATGATACATTATACTAGTGGTGTAAATTCTCGATATATATGAACAATTGTTAGATAGCCGGATTCCTGCATGTTATAGAGGTTTGATTCTTTGGTTATATGTATAGATAAGATTTTGTTAAGAGGGATAAAATCTACTTCATTGATTTCTATGCCTAAAATTAAAGGAGTTAGTTTCCAACTTCTAGTTAGAAGATATCTTTGATGAAAAAGAAAACCACGATATTTATACTAGCAATAGTTTTAGACAAAAAATAATATAGGGTAAAATTTAATTTTTAGTTCTAAAAAAATTTAAATTCACTTTTTGTCTGCTAAATTACTTTTTACTTTTGTAATAAATTAGTTTTAAAGGTAAAATATGTTAAGTTCAATCTTTATTTATAATTTCATTAATACTATTTTGAATATTCCCCTTAAAAATATAAATAAGGACCAATCTCAATATATATGTCTTATTTTTAGAAAGACTAATTTAATACAACAAAATTTTGATAGGCCAAAAATTTTAAAAGAGCTAAAAATAACTTTTACTAAGGGAAAAAAAATCAAATGAAGGCAAACTTATAGTATATAATTTTTTTCTTATTTTCTTAACCATTTTATTCTACAACTAACAAATGTAAAAATCTCTTATTTTAAGATTAATTAATACACTTTTAACATGCGACACACATCTTTACACATGTTAGATATTAAATGGAGAGATTATGGCAGACCAAGCCTACCATAATCCAAATTCCTCTCTATGGTTGGGATTCTGTCCATGTTTTCATTGGCCCCAGAATCTGAGAATGATAGTAGTTCTAATGAGACTTGAGTTTGCACACGTTGAAAAGAACAGAGAAGGACGGAAAGCTGGTGCATCAGATCTCATTATCATTTGGCAAATGCAATTGTTTCTCAAAGATTTCGTATCCTTGATGGGAATAAACCAGAATATCGAGCAGCAAAGTTAATGATTAGAAATTATATGACAAATAGAAATGGTAAAGGACATGTCTTCTCATTAAGATTTTGAGATCTAATAGTGTGAGAATAGAAAACTCAAATAGTAGGTCTGAAATATCCAAGTCATGACATGCATGGGACCCAAAACAACCCAATTCTTGCACTTTATTATAATTATAAACATCCTCAGAATTCTAGTGTATGCACTCAATTGATCTTGTTCTATAGAACAAAGTTCACGAGTGGTTGGCATACAAATTGTAAAGGGTTAATTAATCAATTATATCATATACTCGCATGCTAGGGATAACAAATTAGTGCAGGTAAAGTAAAATGTTCGACACTGATTCTTGTAGCAGTTTGCCAAAAAGAGCACTTACATGTCATGATTCTATCAAGAAGTCTAGTTCGATTAGTTAAAAAGGGTGCCTGAGTTGTAATAAACTTTCTTGATGTTGAGTTTGATCTTCTTAGATAAAAAAAAAATAAAAATAAAAAAAACATTTCATAATCCATGAAGTGGATATGTGAAGTGATGATCCCAAATATCAACCAAAGCATAAATTATAGCTCTAAGGGACTTCAAGACATGAGAATAACCGAGGCTTCCATTGTTATTAGACCCCAAGAACTAGCTACAACCGGAAAAATAATAAATGGCATAATAAAAGGACCTAAATTTGTTATCACTGTCATAGAGTTCATATATATGATTAAAAATGGCATGTAAATCTACATCAAAAAAGGTCAATGGTGAACTAATACTTTACCCTTGATAGTTATACTCATGGCATCACTAAGCCTTTTTTTTGGGTTGATAAGTCACCAAGTCTAATTAATTCTTTTTGGGTCTATAATTAAGCCTAATATTTGAAACATTTTTAATTGAAACTATCGAACCATCAAGAAGCATATAATATCACCACCACGTAAAAAGGAAAAAAGGGGAAGTATTTATGTAAGAACAACATTTTTCATATCTATCTAAACCGTGGACATCAACCAAGTGTAAGTCACTACAACGATTTCCCCCATTATATGTATTGTAACTTTTAACTAGGGGTGGCAAAATGGGCCGTGGCCCGCGGGCCAGCCCGCTGGCCCTCTAATTTTTGGCGGGCCGGGTCCCTTATTTCAGCCTGCCAACCTGCCAAGCCCGTCCCGCCAAGCCCGCCAACCCGGCGGGCCAAATAGCGGGCTGACCTGTCACAACCTGCCAGCCCGCATAAGTGAGACTAGTGCAATGTATCCCTCGTCTAAGCCCTTGTGCATTTTAGAAGATGGTGTTGTTCTCATGAAAAACACATATGGCAAATTAGTTCTGTATAATCTGAATGATGGTAGGTTGGATTATCTTAGGATTAGGGGCGAACTTGGGTTTAATATGCATATTTACCATGAAAGTTTGGTTTCCCCACAATGTTAAAACCGCATTTGTGGATTCCATCCTGTTGTGCTTCTATGAGATCTGATTAAAGGAAGACTACTGTTTGTTTCAGGATTTTTGGGCACTGTGTTAATTTGAATAACAAAATATGGGGTGTCTTTGGTACGGATTCTTTAGGTGAAACCTTACTGTACCATCTCATATATTGTTATATACTAGTGATGATTAAATTGAAAAGCACTTTTTCTTAAGAATTCAATTAATATTATAGCGTTCTTTCTATTCTGTTCAGAAAATGTATTATGCTATCTTGACTTGGAAGACATTTGCATTATATGTGTTGTGTTTTTACATGCATAAACAGTGAAAAATAAAGCAATCTTAGTGCTGCAATAGTGAACTATTTGTCTCTGATATGTGATGGCCAACAGACGAGGGATACATTGCACTAGTCTCACGCCCAACTTGTTTTTAATGATAGCTGGAATTAAAGGAAACATGAACTATTTTTTTGCAAATTATTTTTTGGGTATGCGGGCTGGCCCGCCGGCCCGCCAACCCATCCTTAGGCGGGGCAGACCAACATTTTCAGCCCATTTTTCATCGGCGAGCCAGCCCAGCCCGGCCCGTTTTTGGCGGACCATTGGCGGGGCGGGCCAAAACGGGGCGGGCTGACCGATTTTGCCACCCATACTTTTAACAATAGTTTAGAAGAAAAAAAATCATCCTTGAGATACGAGAAGGGGCACTATAGGGCAGGGGATATAAATCTTTAGACTCGAGAATTCCAATTATGAAGAAACTCTTCTTAAGTAGCATGTTTGATATGCTATTGTTAAGAAACAATATAAGATTAATTTTTTATTTTGATGATAAAAATATAATGGATGTGTAATGTGATGCCAACCCTCAATAGAGTACTATTTTTGTATCCAATTTTATATGAAGATACTTTCATCCTGTCAAGATTCTAAACTATTGTAATTTTAAAATTTTTTTTATTTTTTTTATTACATAGCCTTCGTCCTTCGATGATATTCTTGTCTTTAAATGTGTCATTTGTGATATATCATTTGATGTTATTTTATGGGCTTAATTGTACTTTTCATCCTAAAATTATACAATTTTAGGAACTTTACTTTATAAAGGAAAAAAATTATTCTCTAATTTATGAAGTATTCCAAATTTTTCTTTCAAATTATAACAATTAAGATAATTTTGTGACGATTTAAAGAAATATCTACCACAAAATTATCTAAATTGTGGCGGTTGAAATATATGGAGGTAAAATTTGCAATAATTTCTAAATTGGAGAAAAAAATCAAGGATAAATTTTACGAAATTATATATTTTTAGGGGACAAAAAGTAGAATAAACTCATTACATACAATTTACTTGAATAATTAGATCTGAAACGTTATTAGATAGTTTACAAAAAGGCTATTGAAACATAGGCTTTTGTAGTATAAGGCTAGGTAGTGACTGTCAAATTAGCCTTTGTCCCCCGGTCTCCAAAACACGTCCACATAAAATGCCAAGTTGAAAAATCAAAGTAAACAGAAAGTGGAAAACATTTTTTCCATACCAAAGGCTAATGCTTTGTTGGGAAGGGAAAGAAGACTCTATAATGACC